AGCCACGTGGCAAGGTATAGATTTATGGAAATGGATTAATTTAAGCTATAAGAACAGTTAGCAAGAAGCCTGCCACGGCCATACAGTTTGTATGCAATATAAGTCTCTGTGTTTACTTGGTTGGGTCTGAGCGGCTGTGGGATTGGCGGGTGACAAAGATTTGTCCTGACTGTGGGCAAGGCAGACAAACTCAAGCTACAGATGTGAGCGGAGAAGGTAACACAAACAGAAACGACAGGAAAGGAGCAGGCTTCCTGCAGATGTGGACGGTGAGGAAAGGCAGGTGAGAGATGGAGAGACCAGCCTTGGTGCACTCTCCGGTTAACCCAGGAGAAGGGAAAGATAATGGTGGCTCACAGCTATAACCCTAGCCCTCAGGAGCTGAGGCAGGAGGGTTGCCATGAGTTGGAGGTTAGCCTGAGCCACAGAGTAAAACCTTTCTCAGACAAACACACACCACCAAGGCTGTATTTACATTTGGGGATATACGCACCCTCAAACTTACGCATAGTCCTGAACTAGAAAACCAAAACTCCCCCCTTACAAATGAAGGAGTAGAAACGCAAAGTGCCAATAGAAGTGAACTCCAGTAAGGTGAGATTCAAGGAGGGGGGCTGCCTGGGAGAGGCGGGTCACCGAACAGCATGGAGGCTGGCGGCCATGAACTTCCAGTGACACCAACCAGCACATTTCCTGGAAACAGTGGAAAATCTGTCTGCTTTGGCTGTTGAACACATTGGACATTTCGTAACCAGAACCTGACGTCATCCTGCCTGTGAACATTTACAGATAAAGAACCAAATGCCCAGGAAAGGGCCAAAGAAAAATATTCTAAACAGCCATTCTGTGGAACTTACCAGATCTCCTGTGCATAACATCCAAAGCAAAGATGTACCCTATTTATGCCCCCTTTGAGCCTTCAATGGAAGTTCCTGGGTTGTCTGGATGAAGATGGCCCCCAGAGGCTCAAGCATTTGAACACGTGGTTCCCAGTCGGTGGTGCTATTGGGGAGAAGGAGAAGGCGTGGCCTTTCTGGAGGAAGTGCATCACTATGGGAGGGCTTTGGGAGTACACAGCCTCTCCCCTCTTCCAAATTTCCTTCTCTGGTTCGTGTTTGCCCAGAAGAAGAGGTCTGACTCCCTAGAGGTGGAATTATGTAGGTGGGAGCAGCCTGGCTAGGGTCTGAATTACCGAGGTGATTCATCTCTCCAGCCCCAAGGTGAAATATTTAAAATTTAAAATATTTAGCCTTGATTAGCAATTAACTAACAAGCATTTATATTAAAAACACACATTCTGGAATTGCTAATGGGAATGTAAATTAGCATAATTTCCTGGAAGGCAATTTGACAATAATCACTGAAACTTGTTTGAACCTGAAACTGACTCCCAGTATTTATCCTATAAATGCATTCTCATAAGTGAAATGTATCTTTGCTTATAATAGCCAAATATTGGAAACAAACTAAATGCCTTGGAGATAGGCTAAGACCATGTTATGCCTTGAGATCGGTAGACCTCCAAGATCTAGTGTAATTCGAAACAGAATAGCACATATAGCATGCCACCATCTACATAACCTATTTGTATATGTAGAGATGTGTATATATGATAGGCTTGTGAGCATATAACATATACTTAGAAGTATATACGAATGTAGGACAAGTAGTTGGGAAAGGAATTGGACGCCTGGAAAATAGAGAAGGAAGGAGGTTCACTAGTCTATGTCGACATACCGAATTTTTAACAGATGATAACAAGCTCAAAGTATCACTATCTAGCAGACCAAATAAGGATAAACCAGCCCCTATAAGCACAAACTCCCTCAGAAGTAAATGAAAGTTCAGGGAGACTGGGCAACATCTGCAGGCTTTCTCTAAGCAAATTCTAGCTAACCAATAGAGCTTAATATTCTTGCAATGGCAAAAACACCCAGTCAAGGGTCAGAGTGCCCCTGCTCCTTGGAGAACAGAACAAAACAGTTCCGGCAGCAGACATATGAACCTTAGAGCCTCCTTGCAAGCTACAATTGTGTGGCTGTGGCTGAGTTCCCATGGAAATTAAAAGGACGTGTTTGTTTTAGTTACTTGCAATACTAGCATCAGGAAAATGAAAACAAAGAGAAATGCCCCAAGGTTGTCCTGCATCAAACTTGGGGAGCATTTTTGTTTTCTGCCCCCAGTCAAGAAAAGAAAAAGCTAAAATGGCCCCTGAGGCAAAACTTCTGACCCACCGAAATCTAAGACTGGTCTTAGGCCCTTTGTACACTCTTTGTCTCCAAAGAGATCTGGCATGTTTCATAGAAGAAGGAATGAGTGTGATTCCCATGCAAACCTACAGTGATATGGACCGCAGTGACTCAGGCTGATGCGCGATCTGGAGCGCTGTCCTTGCTGCCAATGCAAGCTGCTTGAGAGACAGACGACGGGGAAGCAACTTCTTTTCTTAGATTTTCCTCCTCCAACACTTCCGAGCAGCCACACTAGGATGTGGATATTTACCCTGGCAGCCAGGCTCCCTGTCTCCATCACCAGGGACGCAGTTCCCTGGGCTACAAACATGCAGAGCCCTGCCTCATTATCAAAAAGGGAGTCCTGTTTGGTAAGAGAGAGGAGGACACACTTTAGAGCATGCGTACAAACTGTAATGTCAATCATTGCCAGAAGGACAAGAATAGAATGCCGCTGGGCTGGTAGACTCAGACCCAAATTCCTTATCAGGACCTCTGACTCTAGGTTTTATGTGAATGAGAGGGTTGTGGGCCCAGCACTAGCTTGAGTATCAAGAACTTTCCATTTCATTGTAACTGTAATAATTTTTCCTGTTGTGCTGTCTAGGACACCATTTCTCTCTGTTTCATCATATAAAAATTTAAGCCTGATTTACCAATGCTCGGGTTGTGACGAAATTTATTTTTCTGCACCCATTGCTCTATTAGCCATGATGTGGAAAACTCATAAAACAAGCATCTTTCAAAACTTATACACAAAAATGTATATAGAGAATGTAGAAAGTGCATAGTTGGCCAGGCTGTGGTGGCGCATGCCTTTAATCCCAGCACTTGGGGAAGCAGAGGCAGGCGGATCTCTGAGTTTGAGGCCAGCCTGGTCTACAGAGTAAGTTTTAGAACAGCCAGAGCTACACAGAGAAACCCTGCCTCAAAACAAACAAACAAACAAAGAGTATAGTTGTTGTTGGGGGGGGGGCAGGTGATTTGCCATTTAGCTCAGTGGTAGAGAACCGGTCTTGCATGCACAAAAGCCCTGTGCTCTGTCCCCAGCACTTCAGAAACTGGGCACGGTACTCCTCCCATAATCTGAATATTCAGAAGGCGGAAGCAGGGGGATCAGGAATGGGGTTCAAGACAATCCTCAACTACATGGTGACTTCAAGACCTGTGTGAGATATGTGAGACCCCGTGAAAGAAAGAGAGGAGGGAGGGAGGGATAGACACATGGGGGAGGGGGGAGACGCTTTATCTGTCACAAAATGATAGCTATAAACTTCTCTATTCAACTATACTCACAAATGTATAAGTAGAATTTTGTCTTAATTTGATTGTGTATTTCCTTCCTTTTCTATCATAAAAACTAAAATATAACCATCCCTGGACGCCTCTCAAAAAAGATGATTTTTTTTTTCTCCTTGCCTGGGCGTACAGCCAGTAAAGATTAAGCTGGGGAGGAACTGATAAAGCAGGAGGGTGGAGTTGGGAGTGGGGGGTGTTAACCCCTTGAATGCCATTCTCTTCCTCCCAGACCTGGGGGACTTGGGAATAGAATCTGTGTATCTGAAGATGTTCTGACACACACCCAGGTTGGGGGACTTCTAAGTTCAGTGATTCCTAAGGTCGTTGCTGACTCTGACGCTGCTGGTCCTTAAAGATGGCCTCTCTGAGTACTCAGGCAACTCTAGGTGAGTGCAAAGCTGCAATTATAGCCAGTTATAGGGGAGTGGTTTTTTTCTTCCTTTTTCTATAGCCTCCCTCTCCTAGGCCTCCTAAGAACCCCATATTAATATTCTATCAATGATCTCACTAAAAGAGAGGCCTGCCTGGTCCCTTGGTCAAGATGTGAAATGCTGATTCCTGTGGGGGTCCACAGAGGCTCCCTAGTGAGACCTTACTCAGAGTCAGAGAATCTGAGCTTGCTTTACCCAGCAAAGCTGCATAATTGGGATGCTTTGGCCATGGGTATGGTTACTAGGTGTTTTGAAGGGTCTACACTTGACTGTACATTGTCTTGAAATGGGGAGGTCTTTTGCCTCTCCCCTTGGCAGTGTATAAAAAGCTCATTAGAATAAATCTCAGGGCAGCTGGGTATTGACCCAGGGGCCTCTGGAATCTATCCTGTGTCTCTGTCTTTCTTATTGTCTCCTTCTGTCCTTCTACCTAATACCTCCTCATTCCTCTCTCCTCCCTGCCAAGAACACTTCCACAGGTTGGAGCTGGACTCGGACAGACTCCCAAGGCTCAAATACATTTTTTTTTAATTTAACAAAAATGTCAATCCTATTCAAATTCTGTAGCTTCTTTTTCTTCCTTAACCAACCTGATGATCTCAAGTGACCGGACATTGGTTCTGCAGTCACGGTGTCGGCCATGTCTCCAGGGAGAAGTCAGTGTTTGGGCACTTGGTTATTCTTTGTCAGCTGACTAGCTGACCCTGGAAAGGGGGAATTTTAGTTTCTTTACCTTTGACTCTTGGGTGTTAGAAGTCACCGTCTTTCCTGAGAGCGAGAATGCCAGAGATGAATGACAGCTGCAGAGGAACCAGACCCTGGAGACTGTGTTACCACAGGCAACGGAGACTGAAGCTGAACAATAGGTTCAAAACATAAGAAATATCAACTTCTTCCAAGGCAGGGAAATAGAATTCAAAAAGCACCATACCGTCTATATAAATATTGGATGGTACCTCGGAAAACTGGAGTGCTAGGTCTCATTCGATTGCATTTTAATTCTGTTTTCTAGACAAGGAAAAGAAATTAAATGCCTAATGAAGTTTTATTCAAATAGAAACAATAATAATATAGCTTGTAATGATGAATATTTGGCAAGAATTTAATAAATGCTTCACCAGTGGGTAGAAATCTCCATGAGACAAGACTGACGTTCCTTCAGTGACTCACTATGGCTGGGGAGAGGGGTTGAGATCCGCCGCTCTGCCCTCTTCCCAATGCTTTCCCAGGCTCCTCCACGTTTAGCTATTTGTCCATCCCAAACATCCTGATGGACAACCAGACACACTGTCCACATCCGAGGTACCCAGAGGTCGGCCAGAACCGCCAGGAGGATGAATTGTGCTGCCTCCCTCGGCAACACAAGCGACAGTGTGTTAGCCCTCGGCCAGGAAGTATCTAATTCAGAATTCAACAGGAGTATGGCCGATGATACACCCTGGAATCCATGAAGAAATCAATACTGAACACACACACACACACACACACACACACACACACACAGAGCGACCTGTCTTCCAGGTACTTCCGGTACCATCACGTGTTCTGGAGAGCTCAGCGCGGAGAAGGCTTCTGTCTTCAGAGCTGACAGGCAAACCTCCCGACTCAGGGATTGAAGTAAACATTACTCATCGTGATATGACCAAGTCAAATCTTTAAACAAGCGTGGGGCCCAATCCCACAGTCACCCTTCCACTGGTGTGAGCCACAGTGGCCGTGCCCAGGGTTGGGAGCCACAAAAGGAAATACAAGTGACTCAGCCTTTTCTAAGGTCAACTCCTGCCTCCTTTCTTGAGATCCTTCGAATCAGACGGCAGAAGCCGGTCAGGCCTTTCCTCCAGTTGCCCCGAGAGCTGGCCTCAGAGTCTGATGCCATCTATGCTCAGCTCCACTGTCTCTGGAGAGGGCAGAACTTGGTGAGAAGTGGAAATATCGGAATACGATAGAGCTGCCATGTTGAAAATAGCTGTTCCATGTTATTTAGACAACAGTGCTATGAGCTGCTAGGTTAATGTAGGAGCAATAACTAGAT